CTTGGACGCCTTGGTGAAGAAAGGCCCTGCGCCACAACACACCCACCCCAGTCGCTTTAGATCTATTCTAGATCTAGATCTAGATCTAGATCTAGATTCTAGTTCTAGATCTGGTCTAAAATCTAGTCAAGTTTGGTTAATCTCCACGTTAGTGAGTAGGACTATACTATAGTCATTGCACTTCCTAAGTTTTTACTGCAATATAGGACTATCCTATAAGATAGAAAAATGAGGGGAGAAATTCCATACAGCAAGAATCTACCATGAAATTGGTAGAATAGAATAGAGGGTTAGGCCGGGGTAGGGGTTTGTCAGGGTTAGGGTTAGATCTAGAGGTCTCTTCTTTGTTTGTCGGGGTGGTTGCTTATTACAGAAGTGCTTCCGATGTGAGTATTATGAGGATAACATGAGACAAAATTGTTTGAAGAACGAACTGGCTACATCTAGCTAGATCTAGATCTAGTAGTCTATACTGTAAATTAGCCTACCTCACCGAATCAATTTGAAATTGTTTCATTGTGCCGGTTGAGGGCCATAATATAATATTGTAGGATATATTATAAACATAATAACCAAATTAGCAGGACAAGGATTATTTCGCTCCGTGCGAATTTCGTTAATAGTGAAATGTCGTGTACTCGTTTTGAAAAGAGGCTGTATGCACATGCAGCTCTGGGCACAATACACAATCACTTGTTTCTTTGGACATTTTGCAAAGGGAACTGAACCAAAACTAAACACAACAAGCAGACCATCACTTTCCACTCTACTAGATCTAGTCCACCAGTACAGAAAAGTTGAAATATCTCTTGTAACTTTCATCCTTTCCAGAAAACTTTATATGTCAATTAAATCACAAGATATTTTAGAAAGGTACACACCTTGTGGTTATAAATAATTTATTTTGCTTTTAATATTATATCCAGAACTTTTATAACCGTCTGAAACACAACCAAATAGCAGCCTTAGCCCATGAAGAAGAACTGCCTGTTGGAGTGATCGCAACTCAATTCTACTCACAACTTGACTCAGTGACTTCCTTTCTGTTATAGATCATAGTATGTGTGTCATTTCTCCCAGAATGGGGAAGATTCTAGTCAGGAGGAGGGCACATCCGCACGCCCTCCAAATGTCAGGTAAAAATTGTACAATCTAACCTTCAGATTAGGCTAATTCTACAAAGGAGTAAATCTGCTTAAACTGCCCCTTGCCTTACTACAGTAAAACTCTGATAACATGACCTCCATAGGACCAGAGAATTTCTTTGTGTTTAACAGATTTTAACAGATTTCATGTTAAGGGAAGATGCACTGCTCGGTCTGTAGACATTGGGGAGGGGGGGGGGAACAACCCAGTACATTCCTTTTGTTGATACAGGAATGTTATGTTAACTCTTTATCTGCTGGGAGCCGCACACTGGGTCGTGCCATATTTCTCTGAACTGCTGGGAGCCGCACACTGTGTGACTGCATTCAAGGATGCGATAAAATGCGAATGCGAAGCTTTCCGATGGGAAGTCGTGATTTTATGTTTGCCCAACTTTTGTGTGAAGAAAAAATTATGAGCTTGTTTATGATTGCGTAACATAAAAAGATATATATAATTTCCCTACAAAATGCACATTTTTTAAAAGTTAATTCATTTCCGGACATTTTTGGTGTATGCTACTACTATATTTCAGCGTATTTGATCTAAAATATGATATAAGCTTTTTTGTGTGTGACACCCTTTATCAGAATTTTATAAAGGGGAAAACCCCAACAAAATCTGTTCAAAACCCCAAGCAGATAGACTGTCCCTGTGGGGACAGGAGAGAGAGTTAAACAAAAGTCTGTGGTATACCACAAGAGGTGGCTGGAATATCTGAGATCTGTTGTAGACAGCAGAGTTTCTTATATACTAATGATAGGAATATCGAGGTTTTTATTTTGTCAAAGAGCATTTCATGTTTTTTGAAGAATTGTTAATGATAATATGTCCTCTTCTGTATGGTGAAGGTTTTGCAGGGTAAACGTCGTGAAAGAGTTTTTATTTCTGTGAACTGTGGAGAGCAGGTCTTCATGATTTCTCTGTGACTTATTGTGCGTTTTTCTTTTCTATGAAACCGTAGACACCCCCGGGGTGATGCCACTGACTGAAGTGTCTCTAGGCCATTCCCAAAGGGGGGACATTTCTCGTTCTAGTGCACAGTAGAATGGGCTGATCTAACAATGTCATGCTCATAACTGTGCTTGAACTACAGCAGGGAACTGCTGCTTTTTCTTTCCTAATCCTTACTATCGTCATTTTCCTCTACTTCTTTTGTGTGTTTGTCACACTCTTGTGACCCGCTATTTCCGGGGTGCCTTGATAGTTGAAGCAGATTTTGTGCTGTTGAAGCGAGAGAGGTGAGCAGAGTAAGTCTGATTCCCTGTAAGGACTTCTCCATTGACATCCACCCCTTGGCACTCATATGACCTTATGCAGTTGCGAGTGCCGTAAAACCCTGAACTAAAACAAACAAACAAAAAAACGTACACCAGGTGTTCATGACACTCGCTGCAAATATTAAAGTTTTGTTTTTCTCTTCTGTTAGTTTGGTTAGTTTGGGGGGTTTTTTCTCAACTATTCCCCTGCTCCAGGTTCAGCAACGGTCTGCTGTGGTTATGTTTGGGTTTTTTCTTCTGACTTAGTTTGTTTTTCTCTTCTATGTTACTTTGTTTTTCTACAGCAGGTGTCAGTTGTAAGTTTTTTGTTTTTTTTACACCAGGTGTCAGTTGTAAGTTTTTTGTTTTTTTTACAGCAGGTGTCAGTTGTAAGTTGTTTTTTTTTCACCAGGTGTCAGTTGTTTGTTTTTCTACAGCAGGTGTCAGTTGTTTGTTTTTTTACAGCAGGTGTCAGTTGTAAGTTGTTTTTTTTTACACCAGGTATAAGTTTTTAGTTTGTTTTTCTACACCAGGTATCCTGCACCAGGTATCCCACACCACGTATCCGTGACCAGGTATCCTGCGCCAGGTATCCGTGACAGCGTGCCAAGATGGAGTTTGTGGAGTTTATCAAGACCCCCATGGTGAACTCGGTGACTGTGCACCGACCTTTCACCCCCAACATGGAGGGTACGCTGTGTGTCACCGGACACCATCTCATCATCTCCTCTCGCAGTGAGAATCACGAGGAACTCTGGGTCAGTGAATGGTTTTTTTTTTGGGGGGGGGGAAGGACTTTCGTAACGAGCGACCATCCCAACAAATACAATAAAGAAGAGACCAAGATCTATCGCTAACCCTACCCCGATCCTTACCCCTACCCCTACCCCAAACCCTAAGCCTAGTGGGTGGTCGGCGGGTGCTCTGGTGTGGTTTGCTTCTTCTTTCCTATGAAACATCTATCGTCTTAATCTCCCCTTCTTCTTTTTTATGTTTGTTACTCTCTTGTAACACCTCTAATCTTCTGGCACTCATATGACCTTATGCAGTTGCGAGCGCCGTAAAACCTCTACTAGAACAAACAATAACCCTAACCCAACCCTTACCCGTTCCCCACACTTTGACCCTACCCCAAACCCTACACCTCTATTCTACTCTGGTTCATTCTGGTCGCTCATTACGGAATTCCTCCCCTTTTTTTTTTTTTAACCACTTCACTGCTGCTCGGCATGCGGTGTACGTCCATCAATCGGGCCCTCCTATTTGCTGTAGCGTAAACATACAGTGCACGCCCGACAATATCGCTATTTTGTTTCGTTTCCTTCTCAGCCGGTAATTGCAATTTTGCATTGAGAGTGGGCTCCCCCTGAAAGCCGTTTTCTTCCTGAGTTAGTAGAGAAGCTTTAGTTTGCCCTAGTTAGACCGACAACAATGACGGAAATAGTGTGAATTATAGCGCCACTGAGCAGTCACTCTCTCTCTCCACTGTTGTAGCGTCTCACTCCAGCTGCGAGCTATGGCTGATCACTCGCGATGTATGCTCTCAATGTATCAAGCTATCGAAGAAATTTTTGCCTCCCTCCCTCTCTCTCCTTCCCTTCCCCTCCCTCCCTCCCTCTCTCTCTCCCTCCCTCCCTCCCTCCCTCTCTCCCTCTCTCTCTCCCTCCCTCCCTCCCTCCCTCAGGTTATACAAATCTCTCCACAGCTCCTTCACAACAACATAGACAGCGTAGAGAAGAAACTAGTGGGCAGTGGGGGGATCCTTACCCTCAAGTGCAAAGATTTCCTCATCCTGTACCTGGAGATTCCGTCTGCGGAGGACTGCATCAACATCGCCTCGTCGGTGGAGGCGCTCTCCAACATTGGTGAGTTCGCCGTCGCGGTCCTGACCGGACAAACACCGTCGGTAAAATTGGAGCCATCTGTTGTTTGCAAATAACGCAGTTTTTTTATGCTTTCACCAAACCTCAGTGTCATCCCTGAAATTTGATATGAAGCATTTTTTCTCACATTTTTTGTAAGTTTTGAAAAAAACAGGATGTCAGTATTTTATTTGGGGGGGG